AAATCGCGCACAAGCCATTGGGAGTTAAAGGCGTCCTGGGGTGGCATTCCGTATCGCATGATCGCATTGAGGAATGCCTTACGCTGCCTGGCATTGAAGCCAAGAACCTCGATGTTGCCGTTGACGCGGGCAAGGAGAGGCGGCAGGGGCCTATCCTTCTCGTCGCGGCGCTCGAGTCTTCGTCTGCTGCGCCGCGAGAGTAGATCGCCCTCGCCCTTCTCGTCGAAATCGTCGTCCTCCTTGTCGTCGTCGCTTGGCGCGCTGAAATCGCTGTTGTAGTCGGACATGTTGTCCTGCCATGGCTGGTCGTCGCGGGTGCCTTGGTCGCCCGTCACGCCCCCGTCGTTATAGTTCACCTGCAAATTGGCCAGACGAGAGAGCACATTAACAGTCGCTTTCGAGGCGCTTTAACTTCACGTTCTCCATCTCACAACTTTTAAGGGATGAAGATACTAATTTTGTAATATTAATACAATTTTCACAATATGAGGGTCAAAAGGAATACGTGTTTATGACTTCTTTATGAGAAATATGAGCATTCGACGCGTAGTCCGATAACGAATGACATTATCGGTTTGTTCCCAACAAATTATGAATTGCTCTAGGAATACGCTAGCGCTCCTGTGACGAAGTATTCTCCGCAGTGAAATCGCTTTTCTGCGAATATACATTTTCGTCTGCAATCAGAAATTAATATTAAAATAATGCCATAATTTCGGTGGCATATAATTAAATCTTACGCAAGTGCTGATGAATGTGGATGAAATATTTATTACCATAGGTAAAGCTTAGTATTTTTAATATATCTTGCATTCCATTGACTTGAATAACTTTGAGCAGTTAAGTGTATAAATTACTTTTGAGCATCAACCATTGTAGAGGCGTACATTAGTTAACGAATTATATTATTATTATTTTAAAAACGATTGTTCTAAAACGTAAATCTAGTTTACTACAATTTTCAAGTACGTATATCTTCTTCCCTTAAATTGTACGATTATAAATGTATATATATATATATATATATAATTTATTTAACTTTTTACAAATACCTTATTTGGATTAATTAATATTAGGCCACTTTGAATTTTTTGAAAAATTGGATTTTATATTTTATTCCATGAGTCGACGAATAGTTATAAATTAAGTAATCAAACTTTTATAATCATTCGAGTTTGTAATTCCAAGTATCGAGAATTCGAAACGTCTAAATATTGTAATTTTAAAATACACATTTTTTCAAACTATATTCTTAAATCCAGAACAGTCAGAAGTAAAATTTAAATAATTTTATCGATTCCTATTAAACGTTTGATAGTATATTAAAAAATTAAGTTTGTAATTCGTCGTATACTTATAATTAATTAATTCATTGAAACTGGTTTTTATTATCGAACCTTTTATAAGCTGTGAATTGTTGGCAATAACAAATTTTTTAAACACCCCCCCCCCCTTCTACGCCCTCTTTTTGAACGAATATTGTATTTTTTTTAATATTTTCGCGTATCATACTAATACACTTGTTTTAAATAGTATAATTTTTTTTTTTTATATATTAAATGTTATTGTTTTGTGCCACGAAGCATAAAAATAAAGATATCTGTTACTCTATATCCTTTGCGATATTCATCATAATACTGTGTTATTTAAAAAAAAAAAAAAAAAAAAAAAAAAAAAAAAAAAAAAAAAAAAAAAAAAAAAAAAAAAAGAATTAAAAATATTATTTTATACGATTTTAAAAAGTGAAATCGCTTTTTTTCTAAAGATTTCTTAAGGTAAGCGACATTATTTAGGCTTCAAAGCGGCCTAATTCCTTAAATGAATAATAACTTCGTATGAGAGAAGTAATTCGACATTACTTAACGCGTTTATTACTTTAAAAATATTATTAAAATAAATATGTTCAACTATTTATTTTTATTATTTAGATTTAAATTATATTTCATAATGTATACTGTAAAAAATTAAATAAAAAGTATATAAGTAATGATAATGGTTTATGCTATAAATTTTCAATCCTCTTGCAGTTAACGTATATATATATAATATTTAATAAGCGTAATGAATTATTCTGGTCCATATTGTAATGATAACGATAATTAGTTCATCAAGATACTTCGGTTCCACAACTATACGTTTTAAAAATATTCCTGATAATTTTTCAGCTATTTTTTTAAATGTCGTTGATAAATGACAGTTATTTATATCGGTAGATGAATTAGTTACTAAAAATACGGAAAAAAATCGAATATCACAATGGAATTGGATTTTTTCATTTAAAAATCGATACAACTACGTAAATTAAATATTAATTGAAAATCAATTTTACCCCATTATTTATTAGTCATTTCGAAGACGAAGAAAGCGTAAAAACTATGAAGTGCAAAATAGAAAATATAACAAGATAATTACTATTATTTTAAATAATCGCTGTATTTTGATGCTTCATTATACTAAAAATATTGAAGTATCGATAGAAGGGTAAATAATATTATTGTTGAAAAAGCTAATCCAGAAATTGAAAAATACAAGCTCACTCGAAGATAAAAATCGGGAAACCGTTTGGCATTTTGCCTCAATTCACCACGAATTGCAGTTCGGTATGAATCAACTGTTCACTATATGAATGAAAAGTAAACTTCAGTACTTGTCATTTGAAAATTCACGAATTAATGAGAGCAAAAAATTTTTACTTACAAGAGTACGGATAAAAATAAGGGAATAACAGTTGTGCTAGAGAACAAGTTATAAATCACTACAATTAACAGCTAAGCCTGAAGTATGAACCTCCATTTTCACACTAGAGTGACTCGATTAATAAACGCAAAGCTTTTAAACTTTTTAAAGTCCAGAAACTTTCATTTCACCTATGCATACACATATAGCAATTTTAAAAGCAGCTAAAGTACCAATTTTTACGCGTTTAAAATTTATATATATATATATATATTATAAATGATTTATGCAGATAAAAAATGCGTCTTTGGATACGATTAACGTTAACACGCATAAGGATATATATCTAAATTAAGTTTAATGATAAGCTTTTTAAAACATATTTAGCGCTATATAAATAATATTGATAACGAGTTCAAAAGTTCAAATGATTTTAGATATTATTGCTAATTGCAATTTACTTTGTCCTATACGCAATTGATTAAATTTGAAAAATTATTCTAAAAACTACTCGTCACATGCAAAAATTCATTATATCCAACTATTAATAAATATTCAAGATCTTGGCAAAAGTATTTTAATTTCACTATAGCACTGAATATGTCGACTCACATTATTAAAGTAATTATTAAAGTGAAAATTTTTCCGTGAAACTGTCGCTACTAGTTTCAATAATTAAAATACTAAGTTTTATCAGTAACGTACAATAATATATTATAATTTTATTTTAATAATTTCACGTAATCAAATTAATTTGAAGAAAATGTTAATATAAAGCTCGAAAAATGAAAATTATCTCAATAAATGAAAGTTTTTTTTATTAAAATCTTAAATCGTACGCTTGTGTCGCGATGGTAGTCAAGGAGCAATTTTCACTACTAGATCGTAAGTTTTTTGTTTCTCACGAAAAATTGCATTTTTACAGCATTGAAATATTTCATACTCTTTCGGTACAGAACGCGAACATCAAAAATAACTTAAAGAACGTATGAAAATTTGTAAAGAGTTGACAATGCAATTTGTCGCTCAAGATGTACAACACATCAATGTTAGCTAAAATAATCTACTTTTGAAATAGAAACATGTGTAACGCACATATCTGCTTACCTGCTTCCTGACGCGCTTGCCCTTGCCCAAGGTCCTTGCAATGTCCTCCTGCTGCTGCTCATAATGATGTCGAAGTAATTTGATCCAGTAAGCTGGATCGGTATTCTCGGCCTCCTGCTTTATGATCTCTGTGTCGGCCTCCTCTTCGGTCTCGCCCTCCTTTGTGACGTAAGAGGCGACCTTGAAGGAGCTCAGGTACTCATTAGCCCAATTCTCCTTCTGCTCGATACCCTCCTTGCTCCTGTCGAGAAGCTCGGCCACGGCCTTGTCATCGTAATGAATGGCCTCGTCCTCCTTGCCCTCCTCCTCTTTAAACAGCTCCTCAGTACCGAATCGCAGGATGTCGTCGAGCTCTTGCTTGCTGAAGTTGGCACCCTTACCGCCCATGCCAGGCCGCACGACTAAGTGGGTGAGCATCATCTTGCGCTTGGCCACTTGGGTCACGCGTTCCTCCACGGAGTTACGTGTCACGAAGCGATAGATCATCACCTTGTTGGCTTGGCCGATACGATGGGCACGACTGAAGGCCTGAATGTCATTGTGCGGATTCCAGTCGGAGTCATAGATTATCACAGTGTCGGCTGTTGCCAAATTGATACCTGCCAAGAAGAATCGAATCGTCACGTCGAGAGATTAATCGCTAACAAATACAGTATTAAAATGCTTTTCTAGAAGTTTTGACGAGCAAGGAATGCCTTCAACAATGGTATTAAAACAACTGTTACAATTCCATCCGACAAAGTTAAAATTTCACAGCACTATCATAATGGATAATTTTGAAATGTATGATGATATATCATTAATCGCTGCCGTGAATATTGATATTAAAATCATTATAGAATAAATGCAAGATATTGGTACCTAAGCCGCCTGCTCTGGTGGAAAGCAGAAAGACAAATTGCTGAGCGCCGGGAGCATTAAATCTGTCTATAGCCTCCTGTCTTTGGGTTCCCGTGATATTACCATCGATTCTTTCATATTTATATCCTTCTCCCTCCAAATAATCTTCAAGCAAGTCCAACATCTTTGTCATTTGTGAAAAGATCAAAACTCGGTGGCCATCGTCGCGTAGTTTCTTCAACATTTTGCTGAGCAGAACGAGCTTACCAGCGGCCTTGATGAGGGCCGAGGTCTCGTAATTGCCATTGGGTCCGGTTGGCGCTTCCTGTGACGCCGCGGGAAACAGGTACGGATGATTACAGCACTTCTTTAAATCCATCATTATGTTGAGAAGCGAAACCTGCTGACCGCCGCCTTTCGGATTCAGCGCTTCGAAGTTTCGCGTCAAAATGTATTTGTAGTACTTTTTCTGCATAGGCGACAGTTCAACTCGTACAATGAATTCAGATTTACTAGGCATATTCTGTTAAAAAAAAATTAAAAGTATTATACTTTAGTTTATTCCATTTATCACATCACAAATTTAAATTGTTATAAAATAATAAAAAAAAACAAACAAAAACAAAAAAAAAACAATCTAAGATCACTCGGCTTATTTACAAATTCGGTATTTTTGTATTTAGACAACTTAGAAAATTTCAATTACTTTAAAATTAATTTAAGTAAGAAGTAATTCGATTGTTCAATTATTATTTAAAATAGTAATATCGAAATGTTACAAAATTCGGGAACCAAAAAAAAAAAAGGTAATGTACCTTTAGTACATCTGCTTTCAAACGTCGCAACATATGAGGTCCCAACATCTCGTGGAGTTTCTTCACCTGTTCCTCCTTCGAGATGTCGGCGAATTCATTTTGAAACGCCGAAAGATCATTGAACTTGTCGCGACACAAAAAGTTCAACAAATGGAAAAGTTCCTCGAGGTTATTTTGTAACGGTGTACCCGTGAGAAGCAATTTATATGCAATATTATAAGAAGCTAAGAGTCTGAAAAACTTGGACTGATTGGACTTGAGACGATGAGCCTCATCAACGACGAGAACAGCCCAATCGATCGAGCCCAGACAGGCCGAATCGATCGATATTAATTCGTAACTCGTAAGTAACACGTTAAACTTGATTTGTGACGAGCGAATTTTAGAGGCTCGACCGCCCCGAACAGCACCTTCCTCGAAAGACAACTCGTTCTCGCGAATTACCATACGACTGTCCTTGTCACCTGAAAGCAAACAAAAACGTAAACGCTAAGAGAAAAAAAACTTCACACCACAATAATATATAAATTGAAGTATAAATTATTGTCTTAATAAAGTATATTGTTGTAATGTAAAGTAAGCCACCCCTACTCACCAACATATGTAACGCAATAAAAATCTGGCGCCCACGTTTCGAATTCTCTTTCCCAATTAATGATGGTCGAAAGTGGCACGGACACCAAAAATGGACCTTTGCAGTGGCCTTCTTTATAAAGTGAATATAGAAATGTGATGGTCTGGATAGTTTTTCCGAGACCCATCTCGTCGGCCAAGATTGTATCAATGCCTTGTCCCCACGAATACCGCAGCCAGTTCAAACCCTATTGATTATTATTGCAATATGAATTATTATAAAAAAAAAAAAGAAATTTAGAATTAAATTTGATAAAAGTTGCCTTAAAAAATAGCCATGATAAATCGCTACATTATCTTTTTCAATAATGCATGTTATGCGACAAATAAGCGAGAAAACTAAGGGGGAAACAGTCGTGCGGAGCAAACACATATTGCGAAGCACCAGCGTTTGTAATTGTAACGGCAAAGCACGTAAAGGCATTTGAAATTATCGATATTTCGGCAAAATAAGCCGTCCTTGAATAAAGCGCACGAGATGATGCCGATAGAAAGTAAAGTGCTGACCTCTAGTTGATAATGATGCAACTGCATGCCGGTGATGTCAAGGTACTCAGGCTGCCTCTCGTACTTCTTCTTGAGATCGGTGGTTGGCTTTTCAGGAGGTGGGGTATACCTCCTTGGCGCTCGCTCCTCGTCGTCAATAATTTCCTTCGTCTTGGACTTTTTGCCCTTACCCTTCTTACCCTTTCTCGAGCTCGTAGGCCCGTCAGCACAGTTGGCCGCCCTTAGATCGAGATAGTATTCGATCGATTGCTTGAGGCCGGGTATGTCGGCGTTCTCGTCCTCCCAAGTGGCCATGTCGTAGCCGAGCTCGCGCCACTTGACCAGGTAAAGGGCGCGTCCGTCCCGCTGGAGCCGGTGATTAATGACACGATGAACGACCAGCCACTCGGGTCTGACACCGAACCGATAAAAGCGCTCCTCGAGATTGTACTCGTCGCGCGTCAACACATTGTCCTTATCGACATCCTTGAGCCGCTTGACCCGGGAGTCGCTTTCGTCGAGAGGCTCCTCGAGCTTCGGCGGCTCGTCCATGTCGTATTTGCGCGAATAGTTTCTGTACATTAGGGGATGGAATACGTCGAGCTGAAGCTCCGTCACCCAATCGCAGTACCAGTACGATCTGTCGACCCACTTGACGAAAAATTCACGTATCTTGCGTGGCTTGGCCGAGGCCTTGCTCGTCGACGGCTCGTCCGTCGGTGGCTCGACGACCTCCTTCCAGCGCCAGGTAAGGATCTTGGCGACCTTGCCGAAAAGCGGCGGGCACGAACAGCGCGGGCACTTCCAATCGCCGTCCGGGATCTCCGAGAGCGGCGGATTCAGGCAATGGGTGTGGTAAGCGCTCGTGCAGCTGTCGCAGCAAAGCAGTTCACCACCGTCTTTGCATACCCTACAGAATTCCATGTGCTCATCGTCGTCCTCCGCCGCACCTACGAATTGCCAAATTTCCAAATTTCAAATTTCAAGTTTCGCTTCGCTCGATACTTTCCAATATTTGCCAATAATTGGCTTTGATTGGAATTGTAAAAAAGCATCATTAATGAATGATTCGACTTATGAAAATAAGAGACATTTGTGACTTTACCTGGCATATTACGAAACATTTCAATATGAACGTATAAGTCAAATAATTAAAACAATTAATTAAATTATTAAATAAAAACGGGTATATTTATATTTAATAGTATTTCTAACGCGTATATTTAATAGCCATAAATAAAGGGTAAACATGTCATAGTTTAAAAGTTTTATTGCATGAGAAGACATCTATCAAAGGATATACCTTCGTTTTCGCAATGCGGGCAACTCCATTTTCCTTCTGGTGTTTCTTCCAATTCAGGTTCCAAGCAAACCAAATGATAAGCTCGTGGACAGGTATCACATAAAATAATCTCTCCACCTTGTTGACATACTTCACAGTAATCTTGATGATCAGTCTTGGCAAACATGAAAAGAAATAAGTTTATTGGAATGATTTGTGAAATCGAAAATCTTTATTATAAAACAAAATTAGGTACATTTAAAGATTCTAATACCTTTGACTAATTGTAACTCGGTATAATTAATATTTGTATTTGATAAAGCACATTTAATAATTTGCTAAACATTTTCAGGGTATATTTCGTATGAGCATAAATAATGAGTCTTTGTCGATTTCGCTATTTTTTTTTTTTATTAAGAATTTAATGTGTCCAATTGATAAATGCTATTAGAATTAGTAATCAAGAAAATGACGTATTTGCGTATTGCTATCTCAGTAATACATATCCACAATTACTATAAATACATATATATTTACATATATACAATAAGATTTTTATTGTATTTACTTTATTAAAAAACGTTATCTAAAATAATTTCTTATTTATAATTGCAATATGATAGAAACATTTATTAACTTCCAAAAGATATTATTTTATCACTTTTAAGTGATTTTTATTATAAATTGACAACAATATTAACATAAAATTTGTATTTAATTCGATAATACATCATTAAAATCCATAATAAGTAAAGTAATCGAACAATTAAAGAAAAAATGTCGTGTTAGCTTGTAAAAATACGGACACATTTTATGCTTTATAAAACCCCATTTTCATAATCTCCTCTAGATAAGTGCATTTGTTTACCTCTCCATCCGGAAATTTAGATGTAGTCTTCGTCTTCTTTTTCTTCTTTGTTTTGTTACCGATTTTGGTCTTTGCCTTCCTGCGTACAGGCGGTGCAGCTGGTGTCTCGGTGCTCGCCTCCTCCGTCTTTGTATTGTTCTCCGTTGGTGGCAAATCTTCAGCATCAGCCAGCATCTGCTCAAACTCCATATCTGAATCCCTGTCTGAACCTGGTCCGCTTCCTTCAACCTCCTCGTCCTAAAAGTTAATAAAATTTGTTATTAATACGCTTAGTTGGATAACTAGTTTCCAATCGAGTTATTCGCTTTAACTCTTTCATTAAGTTACGTAAAAACTACAAGCAAAAAAAAAAAAAAAAAAAAAATGGAATAACAGGCGAGAAAAACGATTTATATTAAATTTTTTATTTTCCTCTGTCAAATTTTAAGATTAGTATTTGTTGGCGAGTCTACGCATGAGACATTAAAATAAAATATTAAAAGTGATACAAATTATAATTTACAAATATATATATTTTATCATTATAGAGTATAATACTGTTTATACAATGTAGAATTAAACTATTTCCGCGTATGGTATATTAATTTGTTTATTGCTATTATTTTCACTAAAATTGGACGTTGTATTGAAATTATTTATTAAGCTTACCGAACTACCCCGCTTGCGCTTTCCCAACTTAATCTTTAAAGTTGGTACTTTTGACGTCTTCTTGCCCTTCTTTGTCCTTGAACCCCGAGACTTTTTCTTTCGATCGCTATCTTCATCATCTTCTTCCTCGTCCTCGTCTTGCACATTGGTGCTTCGATTCGATCTGGCGTTTCTATTTTCATCGTCAATAGACTGAGAAGAAACATCGATTTCCGGCTGTGTGTGAGGATTTAACTCGGAGAAATCTCTCCACTTTGCTGCTACTAACATCATCAATTTCGACATAGGTACCTGTCACAAAAGCGGAGAACCACTATTATAATCACGAATCTCAATATTAATCTCTGTTATCAAATTAATTTTAAAGCTCTTATCTTATGAAGAAAAATGAAGAAGAAAAGAAGAAGAAAAAAGGAATGAAAGAGAAGAAAGAAAGAATGAAAGAAAGAATGAAAGAAAGAAAGAAAGAAAGAAAGAAAAACAACGGATAATACTAATGGTTTTTTTAATTTTTCAATGATATTTTACGGCTACAAATCATATAAGACATCTAAAATACGAAAATACGCTCAACATTACAGACTTCAAATTAGAATAATAATTCTTATTAGAAAAATAATAAATCGATATAAGCATCATCATTATTGATATTAAAAAAATTTTTAAAGCAAATTGTATCTGCCTAATAAATGTCCAATGAGACGTGTCGGTGGAAGACCGACAAACAGATTTTGTGAATCTACATGCGGAATATTCACCTTGGGATTCTCCTTAGCTAATAAAGGCCTAACGTGCTGCTGAAACAGCTTGTAAGTCGTTAAATTTTGAAAGTCGGCATCCGTGTACTCGATAGCGACGTCCGTGAGACCAAAAGTGCTGCAGACTTCTTCTATCGTGGGCATTCCGGTAGCCGGTTCCTGCTGGCCCTGCGTCGTTGGCGCCGGTGTTGAGTGGCTCGACGACTTCCTCGACGAAGACTTGCGACTCTTGCGATTACTCGCGTAATCGCTATCTTCGCCAGCGATGTCGGCGTTTTCACCGGCCATACCGCCTGCGACAACTCCGCCGCCAAAGTCGCTTTCCTGTAGGTCGGTATAATATATTGTACAAGTGGAGAGGATACGATTTGTAAAGCATATGTTATAGAAAATTTTATATATCGATGCATTTATTGTTAATTTTTTTTTTTAATTGCACCATAAAATTATTCTCCACAAGCAATATATAAGAATTCGAATTTGTTTGCTTATAATACTTAAATCTTTAATACCGATAAATTTACTTACATCGCCGGAGTCAGACTTTTTCTTTTTCTTTTTTTTCTTGCCCTTTTTGTCTTCACTTCGTGCTTTCCGCTTCTTTCCCTTCTTCTTCTTGCGCTCCTCAGGCTCATAATCGTCATCCTCCTCCTTCATCAACAATATTTTTTTTTTATTAACTACCTTTCCTTCGAATTAATTTCAACGAACATTATTCAAATAAATAAACTTACTAGTCGTTGAGACTCTTCGGCATCTGACGACCCTTCAACTTGTTGCCCGGCACTGGATACTTGATTGCCAGTCTCTTCTATTTCATCTTCTCCTAAAATACAACAAGATATTTTATAAGCACTTATCCACATATAATACAACAATAATGCTATAATATAATGATGTTGAAATAATAATAATAATAATGATGATGATGATGATGATGATGATGATTATGATGATGATGATGATGATAACTGTAATAAATTATAACAGCAAGTGGTAACGAGCTAAAATAACGGAAAAATGAACGATTCTGTTGAGTCTTATCAGTGACGTTGCCATATTCTTCAAAAGATGCTTAATTAAAGATAATACATGAACAATTTTGATCTACAAATTTTTTAAATACTTCTTGCAATCATCTCAACTTACGCAATAGGAAATATAATGTATTTACTTTCATTTAAATGTATATAATTAATTAATTTAAGCAAGTAACTTTAAATAATCGCTTAATTATTGAAATACTATATTGGTAATAATAATTACTAATAATATAGAATAAATTAAATATTTAGATGGAAATTATCTAATTTGTAGCGTCGCATTTTGACATGGTAATTTTAAAATAAATGACATATTATGAAACATTGTTTCAAATATTTAAGTTGTCTCACAGGGAAAATTAAAATGAAAAGCTACAATATATACGTTGTTGGCAAAGGATTTTTTCTCCACAATTTTCCGCAAATGATTTGTATACGAAAATTTCCGAATTTAACAAACCAATTGCAAGTAATTCATTGTTTTAATAAATGAGTAGTAATAATAATTCGACGAAAATTTTGAAAGAAATTCTCACAGAACAATATAAGAAAAATCATTTTGTAGGTGTGCGTGGGAGAGTCTGAAAAAATTGTTCACGTCCTCTCAACGGTAGACCGCTAAGCAAATGAGAGAATATCGATCTCTCGAGGCGAGGAGAAAAGGAAGGAGCATAAGAGGGAGTAAAAAGAAAATTTCAACCCTTTGGATAAACCAAAGATTACTTTAAAAGCACGCAAAACCTGACCCCAAATCGCCGTTCGCCTTCGCACCTAGATAAACCGAGCGCGAATAAATAGAGGGGGAGGGAGGGGGACACCATAGGAGATACAAGGAGATGCGCTACTAAATTTCATGGAATTTGTATTGTAGCTGAATAGTAAAGAAAAGGGACGGAAAAATGAGGAAACCGTTACTGCGTACGATGTACAACACATCCGTGCTACGGCACTTTGGCTTTCGGCGTCTGTCGCTCTCCCAGGGGGAACGATGGAGAGAGACGGAACGTTTCGCAGCAGCAACAACAGCAACAGCAGCAGCAGCAGCAGCAGCAGCAACAGCAACAGCAGCAGCAGCAGTAGTAGTAGCACCAGCAACAGCAACAGTAACAGCAGTGGTGGCGGCGACGGCGACGTCGACGGCGGCTGCGGCGGCGGCAGCAATGAGGATGAGGACGAGGGGCCGGGTGAGAGGGACGGGGAGCAAAAGGAGTACGAGAAAGATGAGAGAGAAGCGCGATAGAACTGTGGTGGGAGAACAGAGTACTAGTACAGATAATGTATAAGTAGATGAGGTGTTGCCCGAAAAAATATTCAGAACTATGAGATTTATATAAATTATTTTCTCTCCGCGCCTCGCACTGCTAGAAAATCAATCCCATAAAAGAACCAATTATCGTCTAATTATTTTATATAATTGCCGCGAGTCGATCAACATTTTCGTTTAATGGATAAAAACTCGATGGTCACATGATCGAGCAGCTCTCCCGTGCAAAGGGACGTATTTTCTAGGTAGCTGATGGAGGGTGCCCCACGGAAAATGTATACCATTCTCTTGGCATTCAAAATTATTCTCTACTTCATTTGTAATTCCAATGGCTTGTAGAAATGTCGGGCGTCAAAGAAAAAAATGAAAATCAATTTATCGATTCCTGATTGCAAAAATGCCTATTTAATCCCGTCGCTTTTGCGTGATGATTTTTTTCTTCTTTTTTTTTCTTTTTTTTTCCCCACTAAATACGCCCGGCAAATATAATAACCGGGGCTCTTAATTTTATTCCTACTCATAACGTACTCATAATAAAGAGCTGCCGTATCGATTAATGGTTGCCATAGAGACCATATTATATATTTTATTCAGCTCACTAAAATTTCTTCTGAATTATCTATACTTATTAACGGAGTATTGATTTAATTTCCGCAATAAAACTCTTCGGCAATTATTTATTATTTAATTAATTGACAGCCAATTGATAAATTAATAACTAACAATAAAAATAAAATGAATTTTAAATATTACTCGTTTCGCATAGCAATTATCTGTGTAATTATTAACAGCATTTATAATTTGAAAATCATAATTTGACTGTTATATTTTTTGCACAATCTCAATAACTTCTCATTCCGTAACCATCGATTTCATTTAAATATGTAAATGCAAAATGAAGGCATTCAAAATTTATTTATTCTCTCGTTAAATTCTGTGCAAGTCGTTATTCGTATGAACGGATGCTTTATCCAATATGTTACAATAATATACGAGAGGAATAACATCTACATAATTTAATAATAAAATATCTTTAAATAGGTAAAAAAAAAAAAAATTGTTATCAAAATATTAGTAGTTAGCGTTTGAAAAGTAATCAGCAAATGAAATACTAAAGAAATACTCGATTAAAATTGCCATTTTAATGTAGAATTAAGCATAATGTATTTATATAAACTAAAAATTCTTATCTCTATATATAATACCGTTTACAATAAATAAAAAAAATTAGTACATTTAATGGCTTAATTTACATATTTATCGCGTTTGGCATACGTTTATATATATATTTTTTTTTACATATTAAAATTACACGTACTTTAATACAAAATGCAATACGTATTTTAAAGAACATTTATATTTTTGGAAAAGTGTTTAAAATATATTTTTATGATACAAGTTTTAAAGTAACTCAAGAAATATGCTTAATCATCTTATAAAATAACATTCTGCATTAGCAGCTAAGCTATTACAAAAGGAAAGTATATATTAGGACAATTTCATATGTGCCACTAAAATTCGCTTTTTTAATATTACGATTATATTATTTATTTATAAGAGATTGATTAGCGCTATAAATATTGACAAATTGTTGCTTCAAAGTGAATCGTTAACATTTTTTACAGTACCAAACACGTCAAACGGCTTGAACAGTACATTATATATTCATAAAAAGTCATAATTTCAACACTACTTATAAGAAACATTTTATATACATAGCCTTTTAAACTTAAAAATAATTTAATAAGAAAATTAATTGTATTAGAAAAATCATTTTCCAATTTATTTAAAAGATAATAACATTTTAGCTCTGCCGGTTACATATAATACAAGCAAATAAAACTGTGCACTCCAATGAAAAATGAGTTTTGTGTTTTATTTATCAATTGATGAAATTATTCATTTCTAATATAAGGTAGTATGACAATAATTTAAGTATTACATGAAATTGAAAATTATATTTATTTTAAATAAATCCATGTAATCACCACAGAGAACATTCTACAATGTGTAGGATCTACGATATTTGCTGGCTATTTGGATAAAATAGCAAATAATAGAATCTCTTCGTTTATATATTTACTACTTAAAACAAAGAAATAATGTAAAAATGTGATATTCGAACTAAAGAATATGCCGCAATGAACACGTTAAAAGCATATTTCTAAAAATAAAATGTTAATTAAAATAATTTGTAAAACACGCGATATAAAAAAATTGCATAGAAAAAAGTTTTTAATTAAATTTTTACATACACAACTATATTCATTGCAACTATAGGAATGAAAGTTTTTTAAATACTGTGAGAAATTTTACTTAAATTATATTTTAAATTACAAAAAGAATTGAATATTTATGTGATTAATCGATAAATTATGTCCAATAGAAACGTATTCCATAAAATTACTACAGAATAATCATTTCGAAAATGTAATAAATAAATACTCAGTGAATTTTAAACATATGAATATTAAATTCAGAATTAGTATTAACTATGTATAAAATGCATTTTTAATACGCGCGCGCACACATGTAGATATATATTTAAGTCTTTTTATATTACGAATCAATATGAAAATTTTTATTATACTAATAACTTTGTTTTAAGTAGACTATTAAGACTATTATACACAAAATATGATAAAATTTAATTTATGAAATTGTATTAAGTAAATAATATATGGCTTATGGTTAGATTTCGTATAATAAATATATATATATATATATATATATATGTTTATTTATTTATTTATTTTAATAGAAATCTGAAAATCAGTTAGCTTGCATCGAACAACATACATATTCCGTATTGTATATAATAGTTATTTTATTTAGCTTCAAGGATATTATTAGTGATGTTAAAATATAAAATAACCTGAAGTAGGAGTAAGAAAGACGACACATATACACTATTTCTACATTTCAATTTGTATAATTTAGTAATAAATCTCAAAATTTAAAACTTATTTCCTGAAGTAAGGATAGTAGATAATAAAATTTCATAAGGTTTCGTCACAAAATGTCAATTTTACTTTTCGTAAAATTCTACGGTAATACAAAATTTAGCTTTTGATACTTTTTCTTTAATTAATTCAATTTGTTACAACTATCATTAAAAAAAAAAAAAAAATTGAAAAGATATGTAAATTGATAATATAGCTAAAGTAATAATGAAATACAAATATATCAATTTTAGGTTGAATGCTAGGCTTGTTCATAAAATTGCAAAATTAAAAGATTTTCATAAAATATTTTACATGATTTACGCTATTTAAAATAATATGTAATATAATTAGAAAAACTATCGATCTACGATGACTCCCGACTTTTATTATAAAACTGGATTCAATAAGCAATTATTCAATAAGAGTGATTTATGTTTAATTAGCGTATACAAAAGTACAAAAATATCTCATCCCACCAGATTACGCGACTGTAATCACGAAGAAAAATGACTCATTTCATAGCTTACTGTGATGGAACATCTTAGAGTTTCATTAAACTCAAAGTACCACAAGTATGATGCGCTCCATGCAATTCTAGTAATTCCTACTTCGTTCCTTTACTAAGATAGAAAATGGTATAGGAAATGCTACAAATTGTACTTTAATTTTTATACAATAAAGGATTGCATCGATACCAAGCAAAACCTAAATTAACAAAATATATCCATAATACAATCTAATCGTAGCAAATGTTCCATCTGTATGAGTACATTGCGATAATGAAACTTACCGAATAATAAAGCTGACAAATAACGAGACCAAAACTATAAATTATCAAATACATATACCGCCACACTTATAGTTTAAATTGAAAGTATATTAGATTTAAATCCAATCCCGAGTCTTAAAGTATGGCGCGTAACGAATAATTAGAAAAGAAGTGAAGGAAGGAAAATATAAAGCTTCGGTACACGATACCATCTTGCCGTACGTTGTGTGCCGGCGCAATGTTATATTAGTCAGCAACAACCGAAGGAAACGAAAAAAAACAGGACGAGAGGGAGAAGACTGAGAATATATGCGTGCGCGCATATGTGCAAAATAAAATGTCTTTGTCTCATCGCTCCCATGGTACGTGCACACACAGGCACAACGCAACGGGTATCCCAGCTGAAGGCGCTGAATATTACGATTCAGTGGAGGGAGAGGGAGGAAAAATAACTCGTTGCAATAGGCATTGAAAAGCCGACTAGGCCAGAAAGGGTATGAAGGCATTCAGCTGGCCAGATCCCTGTTTCCCTATTTTTGAATGGTATCCACACTGATCGAATGTTTACCTTGTAGAACCTCGAGAGAGAGAGAGAGAGAGAGAGAGAGAGAGAGAGAGAGAGAGAGAGAGAGGGAGAGAGGGATAGAGAGAGAGAGAGAGAGAGAAAGGGACGCGTAGGTTTGAGCGAATGGTCGCGCGGACATTAATATCGGAGCGGCGATCGGCTCCGCTTTGGGACGAGGCGCACGCAAACACATATAAATACATATACAGATATATAAATATATATATATATATATATATATATATATATATTTATATTTTTATATACATTTATATATATATATATATATGCGCGCATGTGTATGCATATACGTACGTATACGCACGACGGGAGCTCATGGGCGATTTTCAATGCTGCGTGTGTGCGTACGCGACCTTTGAGCCGGTGGAGCTTGTGGCTCTGTGTGCGCACAACCGTGTTGTGTACAGCCACGCGATTATGGCAGCCATTTTCTTTCAAAGGGCCGAAGTGCTTGTTTCTCTTTGCGGTGGTGGCGGGGCTTTCGGCTATACGTATCCCGGCGCGTCTAGGGAGCGGAACGAGGAGCCGAGGAGATGAGTCTCCGCCTCGCGAGACTCGATCGCCTTGTTCGGTAACCAGGTCCCAGGGTACGCGCTATCGCTTGGAGAACGATCCCCGATTAATGACACCGGACCTCTCCTCCCTGGCTGCGCTACTACCGATGTGTTTACAATGGGGATGCGTATTGAGATTGCAAGGTTACGCACATCCAATGCGGCTCTTGCGTTACCACTCATGCCCATGGGCCCTGAACGATCCAATCTTTTTAATTTGGATCTCGTATTACAGGATCGCGGTAATTCGAACGTCAAAGTCGTGTTTTCGAATGCTCGCCCCTGCTCGCCTTATCATGCTACGCAATTTCCATTAGTCATCATAAATAATAATACCAAGAATAATATTAACAGTCGTTAATAACAATGATATTAATAGCAACAACGGCAACACCAGCAACGGCAACGGCAACGGCAACGGCAACGTCAACCTCAACGGCAATGGCAACAGCAATAACGTTAACAATAATAATAATAATAATAATAATAATGGTAACAATAATGAGCGGAATAATTTTAATGTCAAAAAAATTAATGATGATTATGATGATGATAATGATAGGAATAATAGAGGAAAATGGCAAAAATTGTTGATCACCCTCGCGTCAGAGAAACAAAGAAAGAGGCCCAACGAGCGCTCACCGAGACAAGTGCCAAGGTAAAGCGGTAAAAAGAAAGAGAGAAAAACTCTAAGGCTCAATGATAGCAAGGAAGCAAACGAATGAGAGGAGCAGCAAGGGTGGGAGGGAGAGAAAAAGAGAATGTACGGAGAGAGAAAAACGTTGTGGAGAACTTGAATTCGTCGTAATCCGGTTCGCGAGTCAACCAAATGCAAATGTTTCACGACATAATAATTAATGCCGAAAGTACGCCCGATAAAAAAGACGATGCGAGATTGCGCGTGTCAGAAAAGCGCGGCTACAACAGGCCACTGACACAAGAGGCAAGCAAATGTAAGGTTAGGAAATCCCGGGAGAGAGAGCGCGCGCGCGCCCTCGCCGAGTCGTGTTTTGAGGTTAAAGCGCTCGGCGTGCCTACCGAGTCCAAACCCGAGCACCGACCTTCCAATTCATAGCCAAGGAGATGTGTCCATATCTAGAAAAGGACCATGAACAGCCGGATAGAGGAATCATTGGTTACTCACCCGCAAAACTCTCGTCGACCTCCTCGTCGGACGCCATGCTCGTGGCGGCGGTGCGTGGTCACAGCGGGGACCTCGTCGTCGTCCTCGTCGTCGACGTCCGCGTCGTCGTTATTCTTGGCGTCGTCGTCGTCGTCGTTGTAGTCGTTGTCGTCGTTGTCGTCGTTGTTGTCGTTGTCGTTGTCGTCGCGTCGTACTCGTGGCTTCCTCTTGCTTTCGCGCACACACACGCACAACGCACAAGCACACGCGCGCGCACGGGCCCACTCGGCGACGGTGACAAGCTGTTGTCGCTGCTAATGCCCGTCGTCGTCGTCGTCGTCACCGTCGTCTTTGCTCGCTGCTGGCGGAAAACTCCGGCTGGAAAGCGGCAGCGGCAGTGGCGGCAGCGGCATCAACGCTCTCTCGCGCGCGTTTCTCTATCTTTTTTGCGCGAGTGCGACGCGCTCACGGCACACATAAACACGCGCGCGCGCGCACACACACATACAGAACGTACGCGTACCCCGCGCGCGCGAATCAGTCCTTTCCCTTTCTCTGTCTCTCTCTCTCTCTCTCTCTCTCTCCTACTCTCTCTCTTACTCACTCACTCCTGGACCAAGTTCGTACGCGTGGACGTACGTAGACGCGGGCGCTATTGGGTTTTCTCCTTCAAGAGTAGTGCTGTGTGTGTGTGACCGTTAAATGCGTGTGCGCTAAAGGCCGTACGTATCCCCGGCGTGCCGTCGCAAGTTGCAACCGCCGAGTGAGAGAGAGAACTCTCGTAGTTTGTTAGATGCATACGCTAGCCTACGTTCTCTCTTCCCTCTCTCCGTCCACCCGTCCACGCTTACTCGCTCTCTCCCCCTCTCACTCTCTCTCTCTCTCTCTCTCTCTCTTTCTCTTTCCCACACACGCATGCACACACACTCAGTGACGTTCTCTTTCTGTTTCTTTGGCTGTACGGTCCCCTCCCCTCTCTTTCGCGCTCACGCTCTCTCTCTCTCTCTCTCTCTCTCTCTCTCGCTGTCTCACTTTACCGTGTGCTCCAGTGCGCGTACTATACCCGTGTCGTCTCTCTCGTTCCTTCTCTCCCTTTCCTGCACTTCTGCATATACGAGCATCCTTATCTGACTTTTTTCTCCCACTACTCGGAGCGACGCTCAACGCATATACTTTTCTCTCGACTAGCGCCGACTTCTCTCCTTTTCTTTATAATGTATCAATGTATAACCGTGTCCCTTACCACCCTATTCTCTCCCCAACCCGTGGTCTCTCGCTCCCTCACTCTCACACTCCCCGCATCTATTTCTCTATCTTCCTATCCCTCCATCTCCATCTATCCAACTGTCTCTCACTCTTGCGCACTTTTACAGTGGCCCTACACCACCAGGGCCGCCAGGGCCGCCTTTTCCCTTCGTCACCACCCTACCCCCACTAGACCGTCATTCTCGTTCTTACTCCGTGTATCCCACTCCCCACCCTCTCGCCCTACTTGATACATCTCAGCGCGAGCCGTGCCCTCGCGAATTTCGACGGATGCCTTCAGAAATTATCCGGGACCGCAGCAGGTGCCCTCGGATTACGCTCACGATGCCGAGTACCGCGACTTCTCCTCCTGCTCCTCCTCCTACCTCAAAACGCACCAGCCAGAGTCACGATCTCATGAGTTTAACGTGGCGGCCGGTCGAGCGTTTGGTTGGTGGTACCGCGCAAGCGAAATCATGCATATGTATTTCATGGAAGAGAAGGCGATTGCCGGTACGCTCCCCGCGACTACAGAGATAGACAGATATATAGATAGATGACTAGATAGTCAGAGAGAGAGAGAGAGAGAGAGAGAGAGAGAGAGAGAGAGATAGCAGCCCGATGCAGGCCACGGTAGGAGTAGTGACTCTCGTGCAGTTTCAGGTGGTTAATCCTTTCGAAATTTATTTACTCGTGCTTGGGAATGCGAAGGATACCTGCGATGCTCTTGCGAAATAATGTCATAGGCCTTTTTTTTTTACTCGAGCCATACGCAGGTTTTGATGAGGACTTACGATAAGCTTTTGCTTCCAACTGACGCTAATTTTTTTCCCTTTTTGCGGTTCCCGTTTTTCTTTTCTACAACTTATCTCGTTCGCGCACTACCTTTTCACGAGCTCAATAATATGAATTCGATAAGTCGATGATAGAATACGTGGATAATTATCGTAAACTGTCGTGCCATTACACATTGCACGCCATCCCCAGGCGCATTGTTCAGAATGTAAAATAATTGATTTGAAAAACATTAAACTAGTAGTGTTATATATTAGCGAACGCATGAGACATTAATTTGTATTCGGATTAATTGGACTAAGCCGATGATTTTACATAGTAAACGCGATAAAATAGCGAGTAAATCGCTCCTCGAGCGATGTTTTTGTTTAGCAACTCCACGCTACTAACAACTCATTAATAAATTAAACACATCTACAAGGGTCAAACTGATATGAGCCTTTCGAAAACTACAGAAATTTATGATACAATTGTCTTTACATTGCCTCTGTTGCGTTTTCAAGATAACAATGCGCAAACTAAATATACGTCCCAACACAATATATTGTAACTAGCGATTATTTTAAGCGTTAACATTTATTTGCCAATGATAATTTTAAATAAATTGTTTGGAAATATTAATTTTACAAATTTTCAATAATTGTGTTTTAATTTATGGGTGTGTTGAAGGCGTTGACGTTATGAAAAAAAAAAAAGTATTTACAATTATTCACACGCTTATTACCATTACTTTTGTATCCACGTTAATTAACATTGCCTTAAAATAAGCAAAATTCTAGAGATTTTTTTCTCCTTTTTTTTTTTTTTTTGCTCTCTCTCTCCCTCTCTCTCTCTCTCTCTCTCTCTCTCTTTTAATACAAAAAATATATTACGTTTTTTACGAGTACGTTTCAATGTATAGTACGGCTTTGAACAAGAAGAAACACTGGATTTCGGTAGATTTTATATTCCTTCAATACCTTCTATGTACTGTATAACCACCCTGTACTTGCATAGTAATTCTATCATAAAATAAATTGGATTAGTCTAATAAATGAAATGATTTAGAAATATCTTCTTTATTAATTAAGCTCAAAAATCATATTTCTAAATAACGAAGTAAATTATTAAGTAATGACGATTTATATTAAGATTTAATCTCTAAATTACTTATAAATTTTGTAAATATATATATATATATGTATCATGATTATGAGCTGTTTTGATGGACATTCTAAAAAAAAATAGAAGGTTATATATTTTTCTTTTCCAATGATAAGTAATTAATTTTTCAACTTGGTGGATGAGAAGGTGGAGGGGTATTGCGTATTGATCCATGTCCAATTAGACATATGAAAACAGTTCGTTTGAAAAACAAAAATAAATATGAGCTAATAAAACAATAACAGTATTTCAATATTTAATTTAATTTAATTAGAATTTTCATATAATCGATAAATAGTCTTGAAGTAATGGAATTATTTCCGTAACATGCGCGAGTATTACTTTTGTTATTAACTATCACCATAATAATGTTTATACTATTATTTTATTGGCTAACAAGTATATTTTATAACATTTATGTTACACTACATGAAACACTACAGCGTGTAATATTTATTTCATTATACTTATGTATGTATATTGGATATTCGAAAATAATATTATATTAATGGAATTATTGGATTTATCAAGCTCTGTGTTCACCTTAAATGGATTTGTCAAATAATTAGTATAAACATTTTTTTCTAATATCTCAAAATTAATAAATGATACGTTAGACGTTTCCCAGTACACGTTGAGGAAGCATTGTGCGAATTCAGAAACTGTTACTTTGATAAAGAAAAAAATTATATACATATATACGCATTATAAAAGAGAAAGAATAAAAGCACTAGAATACTTAATAATGATGAAATTATATTAATTAATATTTTTAACAATTTATTTATATGATAAACACTTATTTTTAATGATATAGGAAAAAATCTAAGACGATTTATTAATATACAACACAGATTGTTTTTTATATATTTATTACACAATATAATTCTAGTGTTAATATAAATATTTTATTATATGTTTTGACATAAACAACTAAAGTAACGTACACTTTGTAATAAAATTAAACAAAAATTTATTATTTTTTAATTATCTATTTCTTGAGTAAAAGAATTCTTAAGCATTGGATAATGATGTTTAAAATGTTTAAAATGTTTAAATATTACACAATTAGTTATCATTGCATAATCACTATTATTTTTTTAATTATTTGGATACCCTTGCATATGTAAAACGTTAATTAATCGTTTAAATGTGCAAAACCTCAGGTTTTAGTACCTCAGTACCTCTATAAGTTATCGATTCGTCAAAGTCACATTTGAAATTCGTAAATGATTTTTGACGAATTTATGATTTTTATGAATTTATTGTATTATTTGACAATATAGATGGAGTCTTTAATACTGGTATTTTGAGGACAAGTATTTGCAAAACATTTATTATGAAAATGATTTATAAAGATATGTTTGCAGACAAACAACTAAAATTTTTGGTACAATTTATAAAGAAAAGATATATTAAATGTACAGTCTATAAGTCTACAATAGTATTTATCTTTGTATATCTTAAAACATTACTGAATAATTTCTCCTTGAATGATAAATAATGGCAGTTAATTAAAGCAAAAGCCAATATTTTCGTTCAAATACTCAAATAGTTTAGTTTTTCCATTACGTAAGTATTAATCTTTATAAAAAAATTTCTCATATCTCCTTTGCCAAACTTATGAATTCCTCAAAAATAAAAATCAATATATAAGTTTCCTTCATTTGCAAGGTAAAATTTCGTTCATACCCTTTCTAGGAGAACCGAGAGGGCAAATTTTAACGGACAAAAAGCACACGTTTAAATGAATACCCCCGGTCTTGGGCGTTGTTTCTCCCTCTCTCTTTTTCTCTCCCTCTCCGTCTCTCTCTCTCTCTCTCTCTCTCTCTCTCTCCCTCTCTCTCTCTCTCTCTCACTCTGTCTCTCTGTCTCTCTCTCTCATTTTCCCTCTCGCCCCCTTCTTGCTGTTTCTTCTCCCACTTTCTGTTACCCTCGTTCTATTTTCTTCTCTCTCATCCTCTCTTTTTCTTCTC